TCTAGAGTTGGATAGTGGTGATTAATGCATAACTTGTGAATATACTAAAAACCACTTAAGTATACACTAAAACTGTGAATTTTATAGCATGTCAATTATATCTCAATAAAGATGTGATAAAATGAAAAGTCTCATAATGGCATGTACCATATGGTATGATTTATAAAAAAATCAAAGCTTTAAACAGTTCAGAAATTATCACATGAATTTATAAGAATAGGAAGTAATGGTGTAAAAACATGCTTGAGAACTGTCCAAAATATAAAAAATGAAAGGTTATGACCAAAGCTGGGAGAAAATATTTGTAATATACATAAGATATAAAGTTTTGATATCCAAAATATGTGGAGAATTCCTACAAATCGATCAGAAAAAGACTCAATAATACTATTGTTAGGTATATACCTAAAGTATATTCTTACCCATATGCTACAGTAGGTATGATCTAAAATATTCACTGCTTTGTTTATGGCTGGTAAGCAAAAAACCCCAGTGCCCATTTACAGAAGCATGGATGAATAAATTGTGTCATATTCATCTAATCAAATATAACAGTGAAAATGAATGAATGAAAGTTACAATAACAGGTAACAACATGGATGAATGATAAACCCTTACTGTAACAACTGCAAGTTTTGGAAGACTATCTGCAGCATTTTTTAAACTAAGACAGCAAAACAAAATAATATGTTATGGATACTTGTGTATGTTACAAACCATTTTAAAATGAATAGTTCGAGAGTGATAAACACAGTTCATTAGTAGTGATTCCCTCTAATAGAATGCAACAGGTGTATGTAATACAGATTCAGAGTTTCATGCTTCTTAAGTGGATTCTTGGGTGTTTTATTTTTCTACTTTAAAACTCATGTATTTGTTACTATATATCATGTATTATACAATTTTAAAAAAACATTGGAATATTAAATCAAATATATAACTTGTTACCTCTGAGAAGAAGTTCAAATGGGGCTTTCGTAATGTATTGCTACATTCCAAAACTGAAGTAAATATAGCTAAGTGCTAAGTTTTAATAAAGCAAGATAGTAGATATCCATAAAGTTATGTTCTATAACTTTATGTATTCATATTTCATATTTTTTTTAAAATCCAGGCAATTCTTAAAGCTGCTGGAGTGTAAGAGTCATCGGCATGAAGGAAAGAGCATTAACACTTTAGTATTGTGTTTAATACTGAAATACTGTATATAGTCTAAATGACTATCGAAAGGAGAATGCTTTTTAAAAAATTCAGTCCAGACAGTGTACAATTACAACAATTTAAAAAAGCATACAATAGGGCAACCCCTTTGTGTCCCCTCCCACTGTGGGAACTTTTCTGTCCTATTAATAAATCCTGATTTTAAATAAATAAATAAAATAAATAAAAAATAGAGAGCATACAATAGTTCTACAATATACAGAGTAGAACGTTGTGACATATTAATAATTCTCAACACTGTATATAGTGCAACTTAATTGTTGCAAAATGCCCTCATAATTTATATAAATTTATATGTAGGTATATTCATATAATAAAACCTGAAAAATTATACAATAACTGTTAATAGTGTTTGTCTCTGTAGCACTGGTTCTCAAGGTAGGGTACACTTTTTCTCTTTTGGACATTTGGTAGCATCTGGAGACATTTTTGGTTGTCACAACTGTAAGACAGAGACCAAATTAGGAATCAGTAACAAGATATTTCTTAAAATTTTATTATGAAAACTTAAAACATATTTCTAAATTATTATGAGTGAAAGACATTACTAATAAACATGTAAAAGATGGTTAATCTCACTTGTAATAAAAGGAATTCAAATTAACAAATAGCATACTATTTCATATCCAACATATTGACACAAATGAAAGTGTGAAAACAGCAGATGCTGTTAAGAATGTAGAAATGGGAATGCTTATGTACTACTAGTGTGCATAAATTGGAACAACCTTTTGGAGAACAATTCAACAATAGCTAATAAAATTGACAGTTATATTCCCTATGACTCAGCACTTCCTCTTCTAGGGATACAATGTAGAAAAATTTTTATGTATCTATCCAAGGAAACATGTATAATGTTTTGTAATTTTAAAGAATAGACTGGAGTAATTATAAAAACTCATCAATCAGAAAATGTATAATAAATTATAATATATGTATACCAACCCATTCAAAGTTAAAAATAAGTGAACTCATTTTGTAAATAATATTATACAATTAATCCCAGCACTCACGAAGGCTGAGGTGGGAGGATTGCTTGAGCCCAGGAGTTCAAGACCAGCTTGGGCAACATAGTGAGACCTCATCTCCTCAAAAAAAGCAAAAAATTAGCTGGGCATGGTGGTGCGTGCCTGTAGTTATGGCTCCTCAGGAGGCTGAGTTGGAAGGATCGCCTGAGCCCAGGAGGTTGAGTCTTCAGTGTATTGTGATTGTGCCATTGCACTCCAGCCTGGGTGACAGCAAGAGCCCAGCTCAAAAAAAAAAAAAAAAAAAAATGAGCATTTTGAAATTGTAAAATTGAGGTAAAAATAAAATAATTTGTGGAATTATCCTTTTAAATTATACTATTCACGTAAAATTTTAAATGCACAAAATAAGAGTACATATTATTAGGGTACACATGCTTTTGTAGTAAATGTCTTAAAGTATGATCAGGAAGGATAGACCAACTTTAGGATAGTGGTTACTGTGGTGGTGGTGGTTGGGAGGCGGGGCGGGTCATACAGGAAACTTTCAACCAAATCTATAGTTTTATTTCTTGAAAAAATATATATAAATTTCAAGCAAATATCAATGAGTATTTGATGATAGCGAGCACATGAGCATTTATATTATTCTTTTTTAAAGTATATTTGACACATTTTTATACCAGGGGGAAAAACACAAAAGTTAAGAATCATTCAGTGTCATGCAAAGCACATACTTAGGGCTGTTAGACAAGGTAAACAGATGATGCTAGACCAAGCTTAAGAATCACTTTTGAAAGAATTTTTCCTGATGTTCCCTCTTCCTTTCATTGTGCCTAGTCAAATCACTGATCTATCAATTAATCAGTTGCATTGTGTCATAATATACCCTGAATATACTTCTATTAAATTACATGTTGCACTTAACTATATTTATTTACATGTTATTCTCACCCTAGAGACCATAAGCTTTTTTAGAGTAGGGACTATTTCTCATTTGTCTATCACTTGTGTTTAGTTTAGTACCCGCCTAATATAGTAAGCAACAAGTAAATATTTGATGAATGAAATGCTGAATGATTGAACAAGATTCCAAAGGAGAAAGAAATTTGTAAGGGATAATTACCAATATTAAACTCTGCTTATATTTTAGTTGTGATGTAGTTGACACTGTATATGTTCTTGCTAGACCCCAATAACAGGGCATTCAGTTAATCCCTATGTGCTAATTAATATTGGATTTTGCTATACATAACGAGAGAACCCAAAATAACTGGTTTCAGTTAGAAATTTATTTCTCTCATATCAGAAAGACATCTAAAAGAAGGTAGTCCAAGGCTGGAGTGGAGGTTTTGCAGTGTCAGGGACCCATATTCCAGCTGTCTTTCTGTTCCGCCATCCTTATTGAGGTACCTCATGAACCCCCCAGATGACTGCTCAAATTCCAGCAATTCTTCCTTCCTTCCTTCCTTCCTTCCTTCCATTCTTCCTCTCTCTCTTCCTTCCTCTCCCTTCCCTCCCCTTTCTCCCTCCCTCCCTCTCTTCCTACCTCTCTCTTTCTCCCTAGCTAAACATAGTTGTATGGCCACACCAAGTTAAAAGATATTTTAGCTGGATGGCAGTGTTTCCAGTTAAAAATTGTGGTTGGTTCTGTTACTAAAGAACAAGTAGAGAGTAGATATTGATGACAATGAACAATCTCTGAAGTTTTAATCAGTTATGGATACTAAAAGGAGAAGATGCTTTTAACCTTCAGGGAATATCCAGCTGAAAGAGAAGTTGGTGCCAGTTTTTAATATACTATTTGTGTAAGCCTGTCCCTAAACAAGCCACAAATTAGAAAATTACATATTGAATGTAATTATCAACTTTAGTTTTGCTCTTAAAGATGAGATATTAACCATATATGGTTAATTAACCATGTTTTAGGGTGTTATTTTTATTATTATATTTTTTGAGTTAGGGTCTCCCTCTGTTGCCCAGGCTGGAGTGCAATGGCATGATCACGGCTCACCACAGCCTCAACCTCCTTGGCTCATTTGATCCTTTTAACTCAGCCTCCCAAGTAGCTGGAACCACAGGCATGTGCTACCACACTTGGCTGTTGGTTTTTTTGTGTTTTTTTTTAAATTTTTTTGCAGAGATGAGATCTTACTTTTTTGCCTAGGCTGATCTTAAACTCCTGGGCTCAAGCAATCCTCCTGCCTCAGCCTCCCAAAGTGCTGAGATTACAGAGGTAGCCACTGCACCTGCATAGTGTTATTTATAAACCTGATTTAATAGAATTCTATTGTTATTTTCTTCTGCCAAATCATATAAACTAAGAAATACAGAGGGTGCCAAAATATGTATACACATTAAGAAAGGAAAAACTGTATTAAAATTATAATGCTCAATATATACTGATAACAAAAGATGAATACAAATCACGTTTGACTTCTGCAATTACAAGAGGTGCTCAGAGTAGTCACCATCAGCGTCCTGACATGTCTGATAACAGCAAACATCTCTCAAAACGTGATCTCTTAAAACTTTTTTTCCTTTGGCACCCTGGTAGTTTGATTTTTGGTGCTAGGTCTATGCTTACAACTTTGGCATTAGCCTTGAAAAAAAAATGAGATAGCGGTAGAATCAGGAAGCTAATCTTTTATAGGCAGATAATCCATAAATGGCAGACTTCCCTTGGATATCTAATTCTGGTCATTGTTTCTGATATTGGTTATTTTTACTAGGTTGTAAAATAAAGTTAGTCATGAAAAGTTTCATTTTTTGGAGATTTGAAAAATTGCTTCACATGAGTCCTTTACCTTCCAGGCTCTAAACTATCTTGGTATTCAGCCCACTAAGGAACAACACCAAGCTCTGAGACAGCAAGTACAAGCAGATTCAAAGGGGACAGTGTCTTTTGGAGGTAATGTTAGGTTTATTGTGTTGTATTATCATAGAAACTTGGTCCAAGAGTTTTTGTGATCCATTTTCATTGAGTGCTTGATCTTTAGAAGGACATAATAGAAAGTAAAACCACTTCTATTTCAAGTTCTTTAATCAGTACTCTTAAAAACTCAGCTAAAATTACTGGCCTGGCAGGGTCAGCAAACAGAAGAAAATATTTGAGAATACTGTGCATAGATGAGTAGACACTCTGCATGTCTGAAGAAGCTTATGGACTTCTCTGCTATTTATTTGCCAAGTGACCTTGGTCAGTTTAAGACAGCCTGTATTAACCTCAATTTATTCATCTGTAAAATGAAGAGAATAAGAGGACCTACCTCAGGAAATTGTTGTGAAGATGAAATTGCTGTGCACCATGCCTGGCATACAGCTGATTTTACATAAACATTAGCTACTATTACTCTTATTAAACCTCAGATTCTTCTAGCTATAGAAGCTATAAGTCCACAGTACTGTCATATGTTTTAGAAAAAGTTCTACTCAGACAAAAGTTGGAAAATTAAATATACCTGTGATATGTATTTGCTTTATTATTATCTTAACTGAATTATTATTATTTTTTATTGTTATTACCATTATTATTATTATTTTGAGTTGGAGTCTCCCCCCATTGCACAGGCTGGAGTGCAGTGGCACACTCACAGCCACTCCAGCATCGACCTGCTGGGCTTAAGCAATCCTTCCACCTCAGCCTTCCAAGGAGCCAGAACTACAGGCGCTCACTACCATGCCTGCCTAATTTTTTATTTATTGTAGAGATAAGGTCTCACCAAGTTGCCCAGGCTGGACTTGAACCCGCGGACTTAGGCAATCCACTAGCCTCAGACTCCCAAAGTGCTGGGATTACAGGCTGAGCCACCAAGCCCAGCCTTAACTGAATTATTAATTTTAGCAAAGTTATCTGAAGTTCAAACTAGTTTATCTCTTACTTTTACTTGTCACTTCATTCAGTACTATTTTAAAACTATTTATGTTAAGTTAAATTTCATTCTTTAGTTATAACACATAGTTTAAACCACATATAGAAGCGTTTATATGCTATATTCTTACTGAAATGTGTTCCATTTCAGATTTTGTTCAGGTTGCCAAAAACTTGTTTTGCTTGCAGCTGGATGAAGCAAATGTCGGTGCCCATGAAATTTCCAACATACTAGATTCACAGGTAGAGTATGCCCTATAAAATTATCTTGACTACTATACTTAAGTCACAAGTCTTGAATGCTATGTGTCATATATGTCACCCTTTTTCACTTTAAAAAATTATGCAAATAATACATTCCTTGGGTCAACATATAAAATACAGATTAAAATCAAAAGTAAGTTCATCTTTATCTTCTTCATCTTCCTCTCTCACTAGCCTCTTGTGCTACTCTCATTCCTAGCTTTTCTAGTATTGACAATTTGACATGTGGAAGGACATATACTATAACTAGCTAGCTAGACAAACAGGTAGATATTGTATGTGCATGTGTTGTTTCTATTCTCTCTTTTTTTTAAGATGTGGGGTACAATTCAGGGTTAGGTATACAGATGTTCATTATGTAGGTAGGTACCCTTGTTGATGAGGTGTGCCTCTCCCTCCCCTGACTGTTTCCCTCAACTGCCAATCCCACCTCCCCTCCCCTGGCAGTTTCCCACTGCTGCCAATTCCTTTCTTATAGTATTATGATAATTGTTCAAGGTCTGTTTATGAGTGAGAACATATGATATTCTGTTCTTTGTTTCTGTGATAGATCACTGAGTATGTTGGTCTCTAAATCCATCCAGGTTGCTACAAAGTTCATATGTTTGTCCTACATTATGGCTGCATAATATTCCATTGTGTATATGCACCACATTTTTTTTTTATCCAGTCCAACTTCGATCAGCATGGTTGGTTCCATGTTTTTGCTATTGTGACTAGAGCTGCAACAAACATACGCGTGCAGGTATCTTTTTTGTAGAATGATTTGAGTTCCTCTGGGTATATTCCAACAGGAGGATTACTGGGTTATATGGAAGGTCAATTTCTAGTTCTCTCAGAAATCGCCACAACTGTCTTCCAAAGAGGTTGCACAAGTTTGCATTCTCACTAGCAGTGTAGAACTTTCTATTCTCTTTTATCTCACTATAATATACACATATAAAAGTACATATCCTTAGTTGTACATAGATAATTGTACAACTAATCTATCCTCATGTAATTAGCATTCACATCAAGAAACAAAATTAAATACATACATTACCAGAGACCTAGATGCTCTCCCACCCCTGGATTCCTTTCTAATTACTAGTAACACTATATTACCCCCAAAAAAGAATCAGGATAACTATTCTTTTGTCTTCTAACAACATACTTTAGTTTTGCCTGTTTTTCTGCTTTATGTAAAATAGAATTGTGATGTATATTAATTTAATAAGTGGTGTTCTAGGGAACTTTGTTATTTATATTGTCAAGTGTTGCGGTCCTTTTCATTGGGGATTTTTAGTAGTGTTATATTCCTAAGGAAGACCATCTTAATTTCTATTTCCTATAATTTATATATTAAGTCAAAATTTATTCTTATTTATGCATGGATAACCACTTGTTTTAGCTTCACCACCATTGATTTAGTAGCCCAGCCTTAACTATTTTTTTCTTCTTATTTTATTTTAAAGATATGGGGTACAAGTCAGGTTTGGGTGCATAAGTTGTCTATGTATTGGTGAAATTTGGGCCTCCCACTGGTCCTCACTTGCCCTTAGTGATGTTATGTGCCTCACCCCCCAACCCAGCAGCGAGTCGCTACTGCCCATTCCTCTCTTGTACTATTGTGATAAATGTTCAGGGCCCACTTATGAGTGAGAGCATGTGGTATTCCATTCTTTGTTTCTTAACTTATACTATTTATTTGAAATGCAAACTTTATCAGATACTAAATTTCTTTCTAGAAACACAGATATGTGTCTGGACCTACAACTCTGCTCCATTGATCCACTTCTCTCTGGCAGTGCATTATTATCTTAATCACTCTAGTTTTGTGGTACTAGGATCATTGTTATCTAGTAGGTTAAGCCCTTAATTTTTTTTTTACTTTTTGGCTTTGATCTTCTAAATGATTTTTGGAATCATTTTGTTATGGTAAAAAAATATCATTTAGTGGTTTTTTATTGGAATAATGTAGAAATTAGAGGATGGATTGGAAAGAACTGAACATGACTTATTTCTTCATTCATTTAGGTGTCTGCTCATGTTTTGCAAAGAGAAAATTGTGGTTTGCTTCATATACATATTGAATATTTTTTGTTAGGTTGATTACTAGTTACATTATCATTTGTGATGCTCTTGGAAATGGGATTTTTTTTCCCATTACATTTTGCAACTGATGATTAGGAAAAATATTAATTTTAGAATGCTTGTATTGGGTGATGCTGCTTTATTGGACTCCTTATTCCAATTGTTTTTGTAATTATTTTTCTTGGCTGTTTTAGGTAAATATTTGAATTAATTATTTTTGTCTTCATCACACATTTTTACTTGTTCTGAACACTGTTGAATAGGAGCAGCAAACGTGAGCAAGAAATAAATTTATGTGATATTGGAACCATTTTAAGTTTTAAATTTTTTCTGCCATTTCTATTTTTCTGAAACAATTTAAATAATAGAAACTTTTCCTTTAAGATTTGAAAATTTTTTATTTGTTAAATGATTTAGGCCTAGATTCTTCCTGGAGAGAAGACATTTCAATTTTTTTTTTTTGAGTTGGAGTCTCACTCTGTCACCCAGACTGGAGTGCAGTGGCCGCTCCCAGCCACCGCAGCCTCGACATGCTGGGCTCCGGCGATCCTTCCGCCTCAGCCTTCCAAGTAGCTGGAACTACAGGTGCGTGCTACCACAGCCGGCTCATATTTTTGATTTATTGTAGAGATGAGTTCTTGCCAAGTTGCCCAGGCGGGTCTCGAACCCGCGGGCTCAGGCAGTCTACTCACCTCAGCCTCCCAAAGGCGCGAGATTACAGGCTGAGCCACCGAGCCTGGCTGACATTTCAAATTTTTAGTGTCTTATAAGGTTATTATTCTATTTAAGTTTTTGTTCTTTTCTTGAATAATTTTGTTAATATACATCTTTCTAGAGAATTTACCCTTTCATTGAGATACTCAAATTTATCACATATTA